AGGTATGTCAAATGGAAAGATGTCTTCACGGGACTATGGCATGGACCAGACCTAGTGTTAGCATGGGCGAGAGGTTCTGCTTGTGTTTTTCCCCAGGATCAACAAGATCCAGTGTGGATCCCAGAGAGACTGATGATGCGGTGCAACAAGCAAGTTGAAGCCTCCAATCATGTTCCTGTTGATGATGATGGCCCTGACGTCCCCGCTGCTGATTCAGGCCAATGAAAAAATGTTGTGGCCATAGCAAAAGCATGGCTAATTCCCTTACCTGTTCATTCTATGTCTAAGGTCTTGCCTGTTTTCTTTTCCACTAGTTGTGAATTAGGATTGCCCTGCGTGGATTTAGATCCCAGCAAGGCTATATATAATGCAACCAATGTTTCTCTCCAAGGAGCCTTATGCTTTTCCCTCATAAATAATTCTAATCCATGCATATGGTTGAAAAATGGCTCGGTTGGCAATTGGCTTGATCCCCTGAGTCAGAATCATATTCCTGTTGCAATGCTCAATGAAGCTTTAAGTCAAGTAAGTGCCGGTGCTTCCTCAGGTTTGGTCAATGGCAGTGGAGGTAGTAATGCTACGAACATTACTACCCTACTAATGCTGATGGAGGGGCTCTGACCCTCGAACTCACGATTTGGACTAGGGAATTCCACCGCCCATCAAGTATTACCCTATTGTGCCCCCAATCTAGAGTACCCTCCTCAATGGACGCCCTGCCATAGCCCAGATCATAAGGATAGGCAGATCGTGCCAGGGTTTGAGTTTTCCCCTCTTTTGGGCAAATATTATTATCAGACTAATCAAAAGACAAGTAAGAAAAATACTTGGCCCTGGTTTCAATAGGTACTATCTAATGAATGGGGAGCCTTCACATCCCTAGAGCCCTTAGCTGTTCTTCAAAATTTGTCTGTTTGGCTCCTTAACATCTCTGCTACTAGAGACCCGAGGGGTGTTTTAAGAATGTTACTATAAATAAAATCATGAACAATTTTAATGTTCCTGCCAGTCCAGTGTGCTTAAAAGCACCATTCTTCTTTTTGCTGGCTAATGTCACCAATGCCACAGGAGACGCGATCTTTTGTAATACATCTGAGGCAACCTGCATCACAAGTCAGTGCTGGAATGGTACTTATAATACAGCTGTGGTAATGAGAGTTCCCACATATGTTCCTATCCCAGTCAAAATAGATACTGGGACTTTCCCAATCTCTCACCTGCTCAGAATGAAAAGAGATTTTGGGATAACGGCGGCCCTAGTCATGGCAATAGCTGTGTCCACCGCAATGGCGATGACAGCTGCGGTTGCCATGGTTGTGACATCTCAGACTGCTGAGACAGTTAATGAAATTGTGGAAAAGACGGCCTCCACATTGACCACTTTAAAATCTATTGATGGTCATTTTAAAGCTGGCATCTTGACAGCAAATCAAAGAGTGGATCTTCTGCAAGAATAGGTGGAAGCCTTGGTAATATTGACCAACTTAGCATGTATTCATTCCCTCTCTTCTTTGTGTATTACCTCCAGGGTGGCTGAGAACTTCACAAAAAATAGTAACCTGAGCTGGCAATTGAGTGAATACCTCTGGGGGAATTGGAGTAAGGAGTTCGAGAACCTGATGGATACCCTGACTAGTCAGATCATTTCCCTGAATGCTACGTGCCTGGAGATACCCACTGTCAATGCTGTTTTAAATATGCTTAATCAAGCTTTTAGTTATATTAAGGAATGGGCTGGCGTGGGTGTTATGATTTCCATGATGTTGTTAGCCATTTTTGTCTGCCTGTGGTGTCTATGCAGGATTAGGAAGTCGCAACAATTCCAAGCTGCCATGTTGGTACAGGCCTTTGCTGCGGTGGAAGCAGCACAATCCCCTCAAGCATGGTTATCCATGCTGACAGACAAATAGACATCTGTCTCGCCTTTGCTGATTGAGTGATATGTATCCGATTCAGTCATGCTCAATGACGGACACCTACCCTTCTTGCAAAACGAAAGTGTTCCCTTCAACCTAAGACATGAGCCTGTGAGGGCAACACAGAGACTCTATGACGGGTAAGATAGGGACACTGGGGTTGAACCTAAGACAGAGATGACTGAAATCTAATAACAGATAGATACGGCTACTCCTCTTATATAAAAGCAAAAAAAGGGGAAACTGTTGGGAACTGCAGAGTACCACGCCCATAAGATGACACTGGTTTCTGCATTCTGCCAGCCCTACGGCGAGTGCTCTCAATAAGTAAACAACTCCTTATTAGGAGTAAGGCCACGTACCCTTCTAGATCTGCTTGGTGACAACCTATCCTAGCGTGCCACCTGGGTGTAGTTGATTGGCTATCGCTGAGTGTATTAAGCCCCGACTTCCTGGGGTCGGGGCCACTCCCAGTAAGCAAGTTTCCCAAAAACACTGTGAGAAGAAGATTCCTCGTTGCCAAGTCATTCTTGCTGGTCGAGGGTGGTCTCGATAATCCCTCGATCAAAGAGGCAAGCAAGAAGACATGTGCTCATCTTGTGTGAAACAGCAAAAATTGTCTTGGAAACAATAGCTTTTCCTTCATCATGTTTTTCCTTTATACACTGTGTCATATTGTACAACTGAGTATTTGATTCCAGGGTTGTTCTTTCAATGTGTCATGCTCCCACACTTTCCCTCACCACTTAGTGATATTTAGGTAGAATCATATTCAACAACTCTAAGCGTGTTTTGAAAACCAGAGTGATTCTTTAATGTCTGTCTCATAGTGTTAGAGGTAGAAATTGAAGAGACCCTTATCCTTTTACAGTTATGGAAAAAATTATGTTTGTGACATGTTTATATATGGTGCCATTCTCAATGTAGCTAACATGTATAATTCATTCTGTGACCCTAAAAGACAAAACATCACAGTTCAGAAACTAGCAAGAGTCAAGATAATCACTGGAATCCATATTAAAGGAGTTAGCCTGTGAAATTAGCATTGCAGGTTATTAAGCATACTCACTGTTTACTAGGATCTCAAAATCCAATGATATGAGTATAGAAGATTATTTCAACTGGTTTATGTAGAAAAGAATAATATTCTACTTAACTCTATATATGGCAATAATTATCTTTTTATTAGTGTGAAATAAATGTTAACATAGTAAACAATGCTAGGTTATTACAACAGTGAAGCATTTATTAATATGTATTGCTTTAAAATGCAATGTTTAGATGTAGAATTTTTAAATAATAAAAATTCCATATATATATATATACACATATGTATATATGTATATATATATATATGAGATAATCTCTGTACCTCCAAATTTAAAATCATGAAGTCATATTTTCTGAAAATGTGATCTGAAAAATTATTAGTCTAATTCCAAAGATCAGACCTAAGATTTGAACTTTATTCCTTCTAAGCGTGGCTGGAAAGTTAACTCTGTTGTTGAAAGTGCCCCCTGCTCTTCAGAAGGCCAGATTTCAAACCACAGCACCTACATTGTGTGGCTTAAAACTGCCTGTAACTCCAGCTCTATAGTGTCTGACAGGCTCTACAGGTTTCCACAGAAATGTATATGCAAGCACACACAGACTAACATATACACAGACACACAAATAAGAAAACACTAAAACTTACAATTTTACACATTAACTGTTAATCACTATTTCATTTGTTGTAAGTCACAAAAAAGAAGTCAGTCCTTTCATACAATGTTTTACATTTTAATAATCAAAAGAAGCAGTTCTCAACTTGTGTGTCACAACCTCAAAGGTGAATACATACCATGTATCCTGCTTATCAGTTATTTGCATTACAATTCATAGCAGTAGGAAAATTGCAGTTATCGAAAAACAGCGAAATAATTTTAATGTTGGGGGTCATCAAATCATGAACCGCATTAATCAGTTGCAGTATTATAGAACTCATGAACCACTGAATAATTAGATTATGTTTTCCTTTTAAGAAAGCATTTACTTCAAGGAGATGCGTGTACCAGGTGTGTCACAGGGCATCATATCTCCTGGAACTGTAGTTATAGGAATCAGACTTGAGTCCCCACCTGGAGCAATTAATACTCTTAATGTCTGAGCTTTTTCTCCAGTCCTCATACTATTTTTCAGTATTACAAGTAAAATACTTTCTAGTTCATTTAAGCTTTTGAAATAGAAATATCTGACTTTTCCCAACCCTAATAATTCAACTTCAACTTAACTGATACAATTAAAATAGCACAGATTATTTCTTAACCTAATGGAATCCCTCCTCTTTAATTTTCTATTAAATTGTTGTATGTGTGCACATGAGAAATGTTGCCTTGGAGGACACCAGAGAGCACGAGATACCTTCGATTTGGAGTTAAAGGCAGCTGTGAGGACCTGGTGTGGGTTCAGGCTAAACCACATCTTCTGCAATAGCCATGGTGCTTTCTACTGCTGACCTGCTGCTATAGCCCCACCTATTTTGAGATCTACCTAGAAAAGTGTTGACAACTCATGATCTTCTAACTATAGAGTTAAATCTCAGGCAGACATGTACTTTTCTCTGTCAAACTTTTTCAATATCAGTGAAATTCATCATTATAGTTTTTTTTCAGTGACAATAAATTGATGTTTTAGTATGAATACCTTGCTTGAATTTCAGGTTTGGAATCTAGGTACAGATGTGTCTACTCTAGACTCTATTAAGTTTTTTAAATACTTATTTTGGTATGAATTTTGTTCTTTGGGTCAACTCAAAATTATGGTATTCTTGTCTTCATTTCATTCCTGTGAGACGTTTTTAGGGGTTTATTCAGGTTATAGGTCATTCATCAGGAAAAACTGAGGAATGAACTGAAATGGAGATCATGGAGGCATGATGCTTACTGGCTTGTTTCCTATGTCCTTCTCCATATGGTTTGCTCAGATTGCTTTTTTCATACCTCCCAGACACACTTTCCCTAAGAATGGCACCACCTTCTGTGGGCAGGGCACTCCTACCAACCAATCTGATAGGGCCATTATCTCAATTGAAATTTCCTGATACCAGATGTGTAATTTGCATCCAAATGACAAGACAAAAAAGCACATATAGATTTTTAAGTGTGAGTAGAGAACAACAAGAGTTCTTAAAACTAACAGAGGGACAGTGGTGGTGAATGTCTTTAATTCCAGCACTCAGGAGGCAGAGGTTGGCAGATCTATTGTTTCAAGGCAAGCCTGCCTAATGTGTGAATTACAGGACAGCCAAGGCTACACCAGGAATCCCTGTTTGGGATGGAGGGGAATCAACAGTCTTCCAACCAGGGGAAGAGACTAGGATCCAGGCTTGACATCTTATCCTGATAGACTTTGTCAAAGGCTTCACTTTGAGCCACAGTGAATTGATTCTTCCAGTCCCCACAAATGCCTGTCAAACACAGAAGGAAAGTTCCAGGAAAGTGAACAAAAATCTTCGATGTGCAGCCAAGTCTGTGACAGTCTCACCTGATCATTCTAGTTAATTTCTAGAATAAAATGAGTCATCCTATATTTTTCTATTCCATACCATCTCTCAATTGTCAAAACTACATTATCACAAATGAACAGAACATGAGCCTATTTCAGTGTGACATCTGTGAGCATCAGAAATGTCATATGGAAGATTCTAGTCTTGAAACTTTGAAGGAAAACTGAGGATGTTCTCAAAACTGAACTTCCATCACACCACCCACCAATGAAAAAAATAACAACCACATGATAGAGTACCAGTTCATAGAATTGGCAACCAAAGTATTCATCTTTAAACTATTCTTCCAACAAAGGTTGTATTAAAGTTAAGGGAATATATACACAATGCTATGATGAGAAAATAAAATCTCCCTAGAGAAATGGATGTGTTCTACCTCACTTTTCTCCATATGAGATGTTTTTAAGCCATTTCCACTGAAATACATAGATAGTCCTCTGTCACAAACACTTCCTACTACTTCAGTCAATATCAGCCATCAAGCACCATCAGCCTGGATACCTGAACATCAGCAAAATATTTTCTGTACCTGCAAGTGTTTTTTTTTATTTAATGAATGTTGTATAATATGACTTTTGTCACTCAGAATCCATCCAAATCGCTACATGTGTCAATAGATTTATTACTGACAAATGTCATTCTATCTATCATGGATGTTTGGGTGTGTCAACTGTTATAGCCCCCCAAAACCCTTTGAATTGGAAAGACTTGTTACTGTGACTCTATCTGAGGTTTCTTACAGACTTGTACAACGTCACTGAGACAGGAATGGTCTAAGTGTGTAGGCAGGACTCATCCATTACAAGGACAGAGCCACAAGGCAGAGGTACCTCTCTTTCCTCCTCTGTTTAACCATGGTTCTAAGGATGTCAATAATGGATTTGTGGGCAGACTCTACTGAAAGAAAATGATGGGACTTGATGCTGGCTTCCAAGCACATCTACTTGATGCCTCATGCTGTATGAAAACATTGAAAACCTATTCATTCCTACAACACAAACTTGATGCTCTATCTTGTCTCACCCTTTCTCATCAATGGCAAAGTGAAGTCAGTCTCATCTTCTGGATTCTTTACCGTCACATTGTTGCACATTGTATTATCCTTCATGACTGAAAAGGATACATTTTTAACAGTAGATCCAAGTTGTTCTGAATTCAGTTGTTTGCCCAAAAATCGACACACTTTTTGTATGTTCCCTCTGAGGTCCTGTGGGTGGAAAGTGGGTGATCATGGGAGTAGAGACTAGCAATGATGCTGACAGAGCCCTTGAGTTCTCATCAAGATGTATATTCCCCTGGTGTTTGAGATAATATTGCATTTCAAACATCCTATATTATGTATTTTACATATAATACATACTAATATATGAATATATAATATATTTATAAATTTATAGTATATATTTATGTTTATTAATTATATTTGATGATGCATGTACTATAGAATGTGTTATGTAGTATGATGTAAAATAGAATTTTATGGTAAATTTATCCTACATAGTGTTTATTATAAATATGGATATGAAGCATGAACATGCAGTACCATCTGAGACAGGAAAATGTCAATGGATCCCTTTGGGTTACAATGAGAGGTGGCTGAGTGGCATGAATTGGGTGCAAGTGATCAAACCCAGGTCCTCTGAGAAGACAGCGTGTACAGTTAACCACATTACCCTTCCTCCAGCCTCCACTTCACCCGCTTTCGTACTCTGTCATACAATGTAAAAGGATAAAGTAGTTGTGCAAAGAAAACTTATTTCTTCATCAATTCTGTCTGCCAGCCCTAGATTGGGATTGGAGAAAATGGTTAGTGTGTGTGTGTGTGTGTGTGTGTGTGTGTGTGTGTGTTTGTAGGTATCCAAAGATGCCAAAAGAGGGTATAAGATTTCCCTGAAGCTATTGTTACAGGCAGTTGTCAACTAAGTGACTTGGGTTTGGGAACCAAAATCAGGTCCTCTAGAAGAGCAGTAAATTCTCTGACCTGCTGAGCTAACTTCAAGTCCATGTATTTTTCTTTTCAAAACATAAATTAACTGTACAAAATGTAAGATTTCTGCATGTCATATATATATATATATCATTGTACTGAGCTCATATTCACTTCATTACCCATCATTCTTTTTATGAATCTCATCCCTTCCTAGGATTCCTTCCCCTCAACTGAGTTGTCCATCTTAGAATTTGCCCTGTGTGCCCAGCACACTGCTAATCTAAATTTCATATAAGAATACATGTAATATTTTCTATTTCTCCCCATGATGATCATCATTATCCTTCAATGCCTACTTTGTATTAGCAAATTTTATTGGAAAAAGCAAGGCTCATGAATCTACAAAATGTGAACTGTGTTGAAATTTGGAGGTGGTAAACAAATAAGCAATTTCTAAAAACACTGTATACCACAAAATAATCAGAATCTCAGCTGCCTCTGGATTACATCAGCTAATAGAAATGTATTCTATTACATTTGAAAAAGGGAAAGAGTTATATGAAAAACCACTACTCTATGGGGCATTGTAATTGCTGCATACAATATGTAATTTACAATGGTGAGGTGCAGGTTGGCCAGTCCTTAGTTCTGAATTGGGACTTGAGCCTGGTACATTCTCTGAAAGTCTATATGAAAGGTCCTTTTCCTAAATTTTGAGTCCAGTAGTCCCTTTGAATGTCTATTGACCCCAGTTTGAAGGTATCAAGGTGACTGTCTTAAAGGTGTTGATGTGGTCAGGTTGTCAGGATTGGATCCACTGTGGTAAATTCCATGCACTAACAACATTGAGCTTGAAACCAGAGCATGTGCCAGGCTAGCAAACTGAAGAAGAGCCACCAGATTCTTACACAACAACTAAAGGAACATTTAGATGAAGCACATGAATTTAATAAGACATGACTAAAACTTATCAACTACACATTGCCATTGGCCATGCCAGAGGAGCAGAGTTGCAATTGAAGGTCCAGGCAATACTCTGATGGGCCAGTCTTCTTTAGGCAAGGTCACAGGACTGCAGAACCTGGAATGTCTTTTGTTTCTGATGTGCCTTAAATGTTTGCTACAGCTCTCTTTCTCTGGTATCTAGGAAGGTGAGAGTGGATGTGGGGAGATCTCCATTGCCTGTAATATAGTGTGTTAATCTCTTGGAAACATTCCATTCTCCTGGACATTTTAAACTGTGAATTGTCAAGAAAATTACACCTCCCTGTGCTGTACTGTCTAATTTAATAATTGTAATGATAGTAAATCCAGAGTTTGGGTGAATAAAAATAAATACAAGGATACTTCTCAAAGCCATGATCTGTGAGTTTTGCCTAATGAGCTGCATGGATTGTAGTTCAGGTTAAGGACATTAACTGAGTCCTAGTATCCCAACTAGTTTAAATTCTTTTAATCTTAATGTTGGGAGATGTGTTCACAGATCTCACAGTGCATCACAGTTGAAACATACCTTTGAAAATAAGAAAGTTAGGCTAAAATTTTAGAAAGGCACATAGTTAAATGTGAAGCATTTAAGGTCAGAGAATAAGGAAAAAAAGTAGCCCCAATTACAATTATTACTGGCTGACAGACTCTCCTTGCTAGGTATGGCTGATGAACAAAGGTGATGATTAATTCCTTATACCCACTTATACCCATCTTTTCACTCAATCTCAGATATATATATATGTATATATGTGTGTGCGTGCATGCGTGCGTGTGTGCGTGTGTGCGTGTGTGTGTGTGTGTGTGTGTGTGTGTGTGTAACCTAAAGGTATAAAGTAGAAGTAGTTGACTATATTTCATTTAAGGTTTCTTATTCTTGCAAGATATCTTATAAGATTAATGCTGTGTCCCAAGCTTCAGGTGAGCTTGGGTCTCCCTGGGAACACTCACCATCCCCCACCCATAACCCATCCCCTCAATCTTTCAGGGACCCACTCCTGGCATACAGAGGACCCGCCCACACAGGAAAAGCATCAGCTCTTCCAGTCCCCAACCTCCAGAGACCCCAGATTCAGGTGAGTTTGAGTCCCCCTGGGACCACCCTACCCCTGCATATCACCCAACCCCTCAATCTTCTGGGGGTTGCTTCTGGCATCTAGAGGACCCACCCACACAGGAAAGGCATCAGTCCTTCCAAACCCCAACCTCCAGAGACCCCAGCTTAAGGTGAGCCTGGGTCTCCCTGATGATACCCCCAACCCTGTCCATCACCCATCCCCTCAATCTTCTGGGCCCTGCTCCTGGCATCCAGAGAACCCACCCACACAACGAAGGTATCAGTCCTTCCAGACCCCAACTTCCAGCGTCCCCAGCTTCAGGTTAGCGTGGGTCTACCTGGGGCCACTCCAATCCCCTGGCCAATACCCATCCCCTCAATCTTCCAGGAGCCTACTCCTGGCATCCAGAGGGCCTGCCCACACAGGAAAGGCATCAGTCCTTTCAGATCCCACACTCTGATGTCCCCAGTTTCAGACCCCACTTTCCAGCATCCACAGCTTCAGCGTCAGGAAAGAAGGAGACCAGTGGAGATAGAAAGACCCCAACTGCACACACTGGAAGAAGAGATGGGAAGAATACGAAATAAGATCTCACTCAGTGATACAAAAAACAATATGACTCCACCAGTATCTAGAGACGAGCAAGACCTGAAAAGCACTACATAGATGAAGCAGAAGAGGCAGGTCTTAAAAGTTATTTTTGAAGATGATAGAGACCCTCAAAGAGGAAACAAGGAAATCCCTTAAACAAATAGAAGAAAAAAACAAACAAAAATACATGAAATGGGGGAAAAGGCGAACCAAATAACTCAAGAAATAAACGAATCTCTCAAAGAATCTAAAGAGTACCAAGAAAAAAAAAGAAACAACCAAATGAAGGAAACAACTCAAACAGTTGAAGGATTAAAAGCTGAAATGGAAACAATGAAGAAAACACAGAATGAAAGGATGCAGGAAATAGAAAAGCTAGGTAAACAATAAAGAACTACAGATGCAAGTATCACCAATTGAATACAAGAGATAGAAGAGAGAATCCCAGGTGTTGAAGACTCATTAGAGGATATACAGTCATCAACCAAAGAAAATCTTAAAACCAACAAATCCCTAATGCAAAATATCCAGGAAATATGGGACACCATGAAGAAGCCGAACCTGAGAATAATAGGTATAGAAGAAGGCAAAGAAATACAGCTCAAGGTTACAGAAAACATATTCAACAAAAACATAGAAGAAAACTTCCCTAACCTAAAGAAGGATATGGCTATGAAAATACAGGAATCTTACAGAACACCAAATAGGCTGGACCAGAAAATAAGTCACATTTCCACATAATAATCAAAACATCAAACCTACAGAATAAAGAGAAAATATTAAGAGCAGCTAAAGAAAAAGGCCAAGTAACATATAAAGGCAGACCTATCAGAATTACACCTGACTTCTCAATGAAAACCATGAAAGCCAGAAGACCCTGGACAGATGTCCTACAAACTCTGAGTAAACAAGTCTTGTAGCCCAAACTAATATATGCAGCAAAGCTTTCAATTACCGGAGAAAACAAAATATTCCATGTCAATTACAGATTTAAACAATACGTATCCAAGAATCATCAATCAATGGTCATTAATATCCCTCAATGTCAACAGTCTCCACATGCCTATAAAAAGACACAAACTAGCAGAATGGATACAAAAACAGAACCCATCCTTCTGCTGCATACAAGAAACACATCTGAATGTCAAAGACAGACATTACCTCAGAGTAAAGGGTTCGAAAAAGAATTTCCAATCAACCAGAACAAAGAAACAAGCGGGTGTAGCAATCCTAATATCTAAAAAACTAGATTTCAAATTAAAATCAATCAAAAGAGGTCAAGAAGGACATTACATATTCATCAAAGGAAAAGTCCATCAAGATGAAGTCTCAGTTTTGAACATCTATGCCCCAAATACAAAGGCACACACATTTGTGAAAGAAACATTACTAAAGTTCAAATAACACATAAAGTCTCACACACTAGTACTGGGAGATTTCGACACTCCACTCTCACTGCTAGACAGGAACTCCAGACAGAAACTGAACAAAATAAACAAAAGAACTAATAGAAGTCTGTTAAACTAGGTTTAACAGACATCTATAAAACATTCACCCAAACACAAAGGGACATTCCTTCTTCTCAGCGCCACATGGGGCTTTCTCTAAAATTGACCACATAAGAGGAAACATAGCAAAAAT